GGATGACAGAGTGTGGGTGGCTCCGACAGCGTTTTTGGATGAGGCAGTGTCTGAATGGCTGTGTCTGTTCATGGAAACTCCTGCCTGGATATAAATGATCGCGCGGTGAGCGTTTGTAAAGCGAATAATAATGATATCCATTACGGGACAAAACACAAAGTGACTAACATTTCTGTACCGATGCCAGTCCAGGAAAATCGGCCACGGAATAATGCGCCGTGTGGCACCTCGCCGGAGGGGTTTGAATCCTTTGCGTGCGTCCTACCTTTTTCCCTGGCACTCACGGAAACACGGGGTTTGCGACCTTGGTGTAGGTGTTCCAAAGGTAAAAAATCGTATGCCTCTGTTAATTCTCTATACAGCCTAAAGAGAATGAGATACAAACGATCTTATCTTCCTTATGCGTTGGGGCGGGAGTCATCTAACAGCGGCACCCTTGTCGATCTCCGCGCCTGGACGCGGGCCAAGAAATGCAGTTAAGTAAATTGTTAACCTTTTTAGGGACACTCGGCAGCGGTGGGAGGCCTTACCTTGCTCCAGATTTATTGCACCGCCACAGCCATGATAGCGCTGTGGCAACGCACCCCCGACATCAGCGCAGTAGCCATATGGGAAAACATTAATGACGCAATTATGGAAGCGCCCCGAACCCCGCTGTCAGCCAAATCCATGCCAGTGAGACAGACGCAGCCGCAACAGCCATAAGTTCGCAAGGCTTTATGTCACCACAACAATGCTATCAACTGAGCCGAAGCTGCGGCCGGAGCGCCACCAGCCATCACAGTTATGAGAGCGAACTAACACCATTATCAAGATCATATACATAATTCTGCCACAGATGTGTTTTTGGTATTTATGGCCTTATTTCCACTTGCACGCGCTGTCAATCGTGTGTCTACTCTTGCTGTCAGCTGTGGGTGTACATTTCTGTCCGTCAGCGCCCCGTCCTGAGCAGTGACACTCTCGGCGTCACTCGCATTACAGCATTCTGTGGGATATCTTTTGTGACCTCGTGATTTAAGCTTATTAATCTATAGTCATTGTGTCGTCGATTTTTTTTTTTTTTCGAATTGTCAGCTGTTTCGACGTTTGACTCACTCACAGCTGTGAATATTCTCTTCCTGAAATCAAAGTTATCCTTTCTTATTATCTCCTTTTCTTATTGTACGTGTCTTTTCTCCATAGCCTCTGAAACCCATGATACATATGCATCTTTGATAATCCAGAAATTTCCTACCTGTATGATATATATATGCACTTACTATCCTTTGAGCCTTCGGTTAATATTTTAGGTACTTTTTCACCAAATAGTGTATATTCTGTTAAATTTGTTTGATGAAATAAACACGTAGGTGTTTTACCTGCACTGCCTTGCACTCGATCCCTGCTTCCTTTCTTGAACATTTCTGGAATCTTCAGAGAATTGCCCTTTTACGGAATTAGATCTTAAACCTGTGTGTCGATACATAAACCATCATTTACACCTGGATTTTAGTCCCGGTTTTAATTGGGAGAAATTAATATCTATTGTGTTGTTCATTTACTTTAAATGACGAATTATCAAGTCCGTTACGTTGCACAATGAAAGAGAATGAAAATATTGTATAGGATTTTTTTTCTTTGTCTCCGGTGTACCACACTGTCAGTAATGGCTACAAAGTATTCACAAACTTTAAATATTAAGTGAATATTGGACATGAAATCGATTTCCATATTTTATAAACATGTTTTCGTACGAGGCTGTTTCGTTTTAAGAAGCACGTGGAAGATCTTAAAAGGAAATAAGTTTACCATAAAAAGAAAAGTTTGTCGTGGAATGTTCTCTAGGACAGAATAGTGTTACTTTTGTTATAAGCGTGTTTTTTATTATTAAGTTTGTTATTCATTTTTTTACCGTTTAATCATAATTCATTCATTCATTTGTTCAAATAATCACTGATTTACTTATGGATTTATCGGTTCGTACATTTATTGATTCATTGAATTATGTATTATTCATTTATTTATGTATTTATATACTCCCTCATTCCCTGTTTTTTTTTTTTTTTTTTTTTTTTTTTTTTTTTTTTTTTTTTTTTTTTTTGTCAACCTGGGAAGGGAATCTCAGACACACGTTGGAGGTATTGCCGAAGACATTACAAGACACATATCAAGACACTCGCGCGATCTCATTAAAGAGGACATCCGTGCCTGTGTTCAGTCTTTTTCGAGGCTGAGCGAACATGAACGAATGACAAGGCAACGCGCAATTTTAATGACCATGGCGGCGGGGGCCATTATGCTCATGGAACTGAAGATAAAAGTTAAATGAGTTTATGAAAATAACCCGTATTTTCCAGCAGTCCACTCTCTCGAAGCAGCGGACTGTGTATATGTATATTGTGTGTGTGTGTGTGTTTATGTGCGTGTTTGTATGTGCTTCGTCTGTGTGTGTGTGTGTGTTTGTGTTCGTGTTTCATTTGCGTGTGTTTCGTCTGTGTGTGTTTCGAGTGCGTGTGTTTTTATGTGTATGTGTGTGTGTTTGCTTGCGTCTTAACGTACGTAGATGTATTTAAGGAGGAGGAGAAGGAGGAAGGGGAGGAAGAGGAGGAGTAGGAGGAGGAGGAGGAAGGGGTGGGAGGAAGAGGAGGAGGAAGGGGAGGAAGAGGAGGAGGAGGGAAAGGAGGGGAGGAGGAGAGGAGGAAAGGAAGAGGAGGAGGAGAAAGACAGGGAGGAGGAGAAAGACAAAGCGAATTCACGAGGGACGCCTTGAGGTCGACACTCGCTTCCCGGAAGAACGCTCGCCCCAACGACGTCATCGGGGCAGAAAACCTTCGAAAACCTTCCTTATGCCGAAGTGTTATCAGCATCCCAAATCACACACACCCCCCCCACCACACCCACCCCACCCCACACCACACCCACCCCACCACCCACCCCACCCACCCCACCCCCCACCCACCCCACCCCATCCCACCCCACCCCCCCACCCCTACGGGTTCTGGGATTCCTTGGACTGCCTTTTCCGAACTTTTACGTTTGTGTTACGGACGCTTTTCGTGGGCTTCGGATTTGCCGATGTTCGAGAGCTGCTGAATTTAGGGAAAGATCTGTTTTTTTTTTTTGTTTTTTTTGTTTTGTTTTTTTTTTTGTTATTCGAGGGTGGAAGGAGGAGGAGGTGGAGGTTAATGCTCTGGTAAGGATGAGATTTTGTAATATGGTGTACCGATTGCGTCTGTTTCGTTCTCCTCTTTTTTCGGCTCTTTTTGTTTCGCTATCTTGCTCCTACTTCTCCTCCTCTCTCCTCATCATCATCTCCTCATCCTTATCTTGCCCTACACTGCTCTCATTGCTCTACTCTGCCTCCTCCTCCTCCTCCTCCGTCTCCTTTTCTTTTTCTCTTCTTCTCTTCTTCTTCTTTCCTTTTCTTCTTCTCCTTTCCTCTCCTTCTCCTTCTCCTTCTCCTCCTCATCTCCTTCTCCTCCTCCTCCTCCTCTCCTCCTCCTTCCTCCTCTTCCTCTCTCTTCCTCCTTCCTTTCCTCCTTCTCTTTTCTTCTTCTTCTAATCCTCCTGCCTCCTCCTCCTCCTCCTCCCTCCTCCTCCTCCTCCTCCTCCCCTCCCTCCTCCTTCTCCTCCTCTCCCTTTCCCTCCTCTCCCTCCCTTCTCCTTTTATCCAACACCCTCTCTCTCTCTTTTCCCCTCCTTCCCTTTCTCCTTCCCCTTTCTTCTTGTCTTCTCCCTTCTCGTTCTCTGTCCTCCTTCTCCCTCTTCTATTTCGCTCTCTCCCCTTGTCCTATTCCTTGTCCCCTTCTCCCATTTTCTCCTTCCCCCCCCCCTACACTCTTCCTTTCCATTCTCTTTCCCATCTCTCTCCTTCATACCTTTTTTCCTTCCTTCTATCCTTTCCACGCTCCCTTTCTTTTCCCCATTTCCTTCTCCCTCTTCTCTCTCTTCTCTCCTTTTCCCATCTCTCTCCTCTCCTCCTTATCTCCTCTCCTCTCCTCCTCCCCGTATTTTACTTGTTCCCATTCGTTCTTCTTCCCCCTTACCTCCTCTCCTCCCCCCTCTCTCTCCTCTTTTTACCTTCTCTTTTTTCCTTTACCTCTGCCTCCCTCTCTCCCTGTTTCAGCTCCTTCCCACTGCATCCTTGATCTTACCTCCTGACCTGTTTCCTTCCTTTCTCTATCCTGTATATCTCCTCCTTTCATGATCTCCCACCCCTCCTTTCCATTTCTCGCTATCCTCTGCTTCTTCTTTCCATTCTTTTATCCCCCTCTCCTCTCCTCCCCTTTTTACCTTTTCCCCGGTCTCCTCCTCTCCCCATTGTTTACTTCTTCCCATTCCTTATTCTTCCTCTTACCTCCTGAGACGCTCCCCCCCTCCCCAGTCTCGTCCCCCTCCCCCCACTCTCGCCTCTCCCCCTCCCCCCACCTCTCGCCCCCCACCTCTCGTCCCCCCCCCCACCTCTCTTCCCACCTCTCGCCCCCCCCCCCCAGCTCCGTCCTACTTCCTCCTTGGACCAAGAAATAAATATGTTTGCCAGAGAGAGGAGAGATTTTCATTTCGCATCCCTAACGTGGCGGGATATTTTTTTACGTCTGTTTAGCCCCCCCGCTGAAGTCAAGGCTGCAATTCCCGGTCTTACTCCTGTACAACACCGCTACAAAATTCCTCATTCACATCTTCGGCATGGATAAACACATACATGTATTGTGTTTAATAACTGTAGTATAGAGACACCTTCCTGGCGAAAAAGGAAAGAAAATGAAACATATATATGTGTGTGTGTGTGTTTGTGTGTGTCTGTGTGTATGTATAAATATATATATATATATATATATATATATATATATATATATATATATATATATATATATATATATATACAATGGTCATAGTTTCTCAAACGAAGTCAGAAGTGTTTTGTTTTAAAGTTTTGAAGTCGAGTTCCTCTCCGACGAAGACTCGCCCCAACAATGACAGCCGTAAAAATCCGAGCGTCTTCCCCAGCGCAGTCCGAGCCGCCGTCATACAAAACACAACGACACCTTTAGCGAGAGAAAGACATAAAAAACTGTCAGAGAAGTAGACGT